GCCTAACGTACATGATGAGTCTGTGTGGGAATCATTTTTAGGTTCTCCATGATGAAATGTTGTATAGACGATAAAACTGGATACCCACGAGTATGCCTCGATTCCAGTATGTGTCTGTGCCCAGTCCGCCCGACTTCTATTGAAAAGCAGTGCCCAGCTTAAAGCTTGGGTTCTGCTGCAGACCAGCTGGGCAACCTGAGGCAAATCACCTAACGTGGCAAGCCTGAGGTGCCTCCTTATAAAATGGAGGCCGGTCTTTGTGAATTTTTGATTAGCATATAATACTTAGGCATTGAATAGCTTTTTGCTAGTACTTTTATTAGACAATTGGAAATTTGTTTTCTGCTTTATGGAGTGATGTTGATGATGCATAAGTGATAGTCCAACAGCCTGAACAAATGTGATTTATTCTATGGCCCTCAGCAAACCTGTTAGGAGCCCTTGCAGGACATCAGTTGTGGCTGTTAGCTGAAGTATAATAGCTCATAGCTGTGTATGTCCAGGGACAGGCAGGAGACTCTTTGCCAAGGCATGTCACTTTTTGCTGTGCTAGAAAAGAGTGCTGGGCTTTAAGTCCTATTTTTGTTTCTTTCTAGCACTGTGTCTTTGGGCACGTCAGCTAGTCTCTCTGAGCCTGGGTTTCCTAATCTGGAAAATGGAGGTGATAATGCCTATTTTGTAAGGCTGCATTAAATTCAAGTGAGATAATGTGAATGTGCTTTGTACATGTCTGGGATGGACTGGAGAGTTGGAGAGGTGCCAAGTACTGCTGTTTTTAGATTATGTTAAAGCCAGCACAGGTACCCTTATACTGGGGAGAGTTGACTTGAGTTTTAATGTAGAACAATATTGAAAATAATTTTTTTTTGAAAACAGTTTTGAAATTTGTTTGTTTTCTTGCACTGTGGACTCTTTCAGGGTGTTTGGGCCCTGCTGATCATGGTACTCAGGGAGCTGTTGCTTCAGGAAATCCAGGTGCCTTCCTTATGGAGGAGGTGGGAGGGATTGGGCTGGGGCAGGGACTCAGACAGCACATGGGGCCAGAAACCCCGCTCTGGATTTGAAGCTCACTGTTGTTTTTTTTTTCCTCTGACTTGCCTAGTTATTTAGTCATTCATCTGTCCCGAGAGGCTGTCTCCTGTCAGCTCTGAGATTTGACTTGCACTCACCATGGTCCTGGAGGTAAAGAAGCATATGCCCCAGGAGAAGGCATATGAAATAGGCTAGCTTTGGCATAATGGCTGTATTGATGTTCTCCCACCCATGCACGTGGACCCTGCCACTGCCACGCAGAGACCTGATCCTTCAGCCATTTGTGGGCCCCTCCCTTGTTTTTCCTCAGGAGGATCCAGTTGGCATCTAGGAAGACTGGCCATGACTTGGAGCTAGCACCTGTCCTGCAGAAAGTGGATTGGGAGGCCTGTGGCTTGGCAGGAGTGCCACTGTCTGACTTTTCTCCTGCTTCTGTGGGGTAGCAGGGAGCAGGAGAAGTCAGTGTGGGTGTGACACACGGGAATACCAGCTGAGTCTGCTTGTCTCTGTTCAGAGGAGCTCCAGGCTAGTCAAGCTACTGTTGCCATTTTATACACAAGGACACCAAGGGTGGTAAAGGGTCGAGGTGTCAGGCATCAGAGACACAACTCAACCACGCTCTGAAATCTTCCTATTCCAAATCCAGTGTTCTTTTTATTTTTCCTTCTTACAACCCCAGGTCTAGGTAGGACAGCTGATTTTTACAGTAGGATAGTGGTGGAAAAAAAAATTGACCAATGAGTAGTTATTGAGTGACTGCTGGGTAAGTGAAGGCAGCAGTTCTGATGGAGGCTATGTGATGTTCAATAGGATTAGAGGTGTTTTGGGATTCAGTACACAGAGCCCAATGGGTGAGGAGAAGAGAGTGGCTGTGAAGTGGGGGTTTGAGAGGCTCCCCCACCTCTTCTGATTTCCAGTGGGCTCCATAATTGGCCTCTGGGACTCTAAGTTTTGCTTACTGGGAGTCATCAGGGAGTGGCTTGAGCTGCAGGTCTGGCCATGGGCTGTCGGCCTGCCTTGAGGGTGACCAGAGCCTAGCAGAGACTTTATTTGGAGTAATGTCTTTGTGTTTTGAAAACAAGTTCAACTTTGATCCTAATTGGAAACTATTCTATTGATTGTTTACTTCTGGATATTAAAAGAAATTATAAAATATGCAAACAAAATTTACAATTTTGCCCATTTTTAAGTTTTCAGCTTGGTGGTATTAAGTACATTCACATTGTTGTGTTACCGTCACCACCATCCATCTCCAGAACTCTTCATCTTGCAAAATCGATGCTTTGTATCCATTACACAGTAACTCTCCATTGCCTCCTCCCCCAGGCTCTGGCAACCACCATTCTACTTTCTGTCTATATGAATTTGCTTGTTCTATTTTCCACCTATAAGTGGAATCATACAATATTTGTTCTTTTGTGTCCGTATGTAGCCAGATGTGGAATTTTTGGGTCATGTAGTAATTCTGTGTTTAATTTTTTGAGGAACTGACACACCCTTTTCCATAGGAGCCACACCATTTTACATTCTCACCAGCAATGTACAAAGACTCTATTTTCTCCATGTCCTCACCGATACTTGTCATTTTCTGGTTTCACTTTGCTTTGATAACAACCCAGATGCAGGGTTTTAATGCTATAGTTTCTACTTTTATATATATATATTGTATAGTGGTCCCAGTGGCCATCTTGGCATAGCTTATGATAAAGCTGTGGTTTCTGGCCAGGCATGGTGGCTCACGCCTGTAATCCCAACACTTTGGGAGGCTGGATCACCTGAGGTCAGGAGTTTGAGACCAGCCTGGTCAACATGGTAAAACCCCATCTCTACTAAAACTACAAAAACTTAGCTGGATGTGGTGGCAGATGCCTGTAATCCCATCTACTCAGGAGGCTGAGGCAGGAGAATCACTTGAATTGGGGAGGCGAAGGTTCCAGTGAGCCGAGATTGTGCCACTGCACTCCAGCCTGGGCGACAGAGCGAGACTCCATGTCAAAGAACCTGAAACAAAAACAAAGAAAAACTGCAGTTTCAAAACTTCTGATTAGCAGTATTCTTTTTTTTTCTAAATGTGGAATCCAGGAGATAAAACAGCTATCAGTCTAGGAAAGGTTTGAGTCTTCTTTGTCTATGAGAAAGTACTTACTTCCTTGCAAGAACCCTAGGAGAACTCAGAGCCTATTGTGGAAGCCTGTGCTAGAAGTCATTGCTGTAAGCACTGTAGCAGTGTGACAGTAGCAGTCATTTTTTATTTATTATTATTTTTAATAGAGACAGGGTCTTACCTTATTGCCCAGGCTGGTCTCAAACTCCTGGGCTCAAGCAGTCCTTCCACCTCAGCCTCCCAAAGTGCTGGGATTACATCAGCCGCAGTGTCCAGCCAGTAGCAATTATTTTAATCAATAAAAGTGGAGCATGTGTTCAGTCTGTCTGTTTAAGGCTTATCCCACTGCCTGCTGGGCTCTTTCAGGCCCTTCTGCCAGCCTCTCAGGTGGGACTTTTAACAGCTCCTCCTCCTGCCCTCCCTGACCCATCCGAGTTCCTAGGGCCAGCTGCCTAGGTATCAGGTCCTGTAAGTCTACCTCCTAGTGGGACTCCCCTTCATCCCTGCTGTCATGGGTCCATCTGGGATCCTGGCATCTTTTTAAAAATAAGAACTTTATAATTTACATACCATGTAGTTCACCTGAAGTGTACAAATTCAGTGGTTTTTAGCATATTAATAGAGTTGTGTAGCCACCACCATAATCAATTTTAGAACATTTTTGTCATCCCAGAAAGAAACCCTAAACCCGTTGGTAGTCATTCCCCAATTGTCCTTCTCCCCAAGCCCATTAAACCAGCATTCCCCATCTGTTTCGTATCAGGAACTGGTTTCTTGGAAGACAATTTTTCCATAGACCAGGACAGAGGGTGGGGATAATTTCTGTTTGAAACTGTTCCACTTCACATCATCAGGCATTATTTAGATTCTCATAAGGAGTGCACAACTCAGATCCCTCGCATGTGCAGTTCATAATAGGCTTTGTGCTCCTGTGAGAATCTAATGCTGCTGCTGATCTGACAGGAGGCAGAGCTCAGGCAATAATGCTTGCTCACCTGCCAATCATCTCCTGTTCTGTGGTTCGATTCCTAACAGGCCAGGGACAAGTACTGGCCCGTGGCCTGGGCATTGGGGACTCTTGCACTAAACCATAGATTTGCCTATTCTGGACATCTCATATACTTGAAGTCAGACAATATATGCTCTTGTGTATGACTTCTTTCATTTAGCATAATGTTTTCCAGGTTCTTCCATGTTGTAGCATGTATCAGAACTTTATTCCTTTGTATGACTGAATAATGAATACTCCCTTGTATGGACATACTTCATTTTATTTATTCATCAGTAGATGGACGTTTAGGTTGTTTCCACCCTCCGTGAACATTCATGAACAAGTTTTGACGTAGACATGTTTTCATTTCTCTCAGGAAGATACACATAGTAGTGGAATTCCCTGGTCATATGCTAGCTCTGTTTAATGTTTTGAGGAACTAGCAGACTGTTTTCCACAAAGACAGCACCAGTTTACATTCCCAGGAGCACTGCATGAGATTCTAAATCTCCACATCCTTGCCAATCGTATCATCTTTTGCAGCCTTCAAACTGGTCTTCCCACCTCTAATTATTTTTCTATTATCTTTCAAAAACATTGGCAAGACATTTTTTTCTCCCTAAAGTACCCATTTGTTCCCTGTTGCCTGCAGATAAAGTTCATGGCCTCTGTGTTGTGGCATGGCCCTCAACTACCTCTCCATCCTCCACACACATCCCCTGCTCTAACACCTTGTCTCCTAGTTTCCCCATCTCATCATGTTCTCCTTGCCTCTTTGCTTCACTGTCTTCCACTGCAGTGTATTCCATTCTTCAAGGCTTAATACAATAATTTACTCCTTTGCCTTCCTTAATCCCTTTGAATGAATTGTTCTTTTCTGCCTTAAGATGTTGCCTGTGTTTCTTTTCATATCATTCAGCTTTTGAAAAAAATAATAGGTTTGTTACCTCTGCTTGCAGTGATCCCTGGGGGCAAGGATTGTTCTCACACTTTTGTGTGCCTGGCACCTGGTGCATTGCCTGGCAATGATGAATGGTATGGTGAGGAGCTATGGTGAGGATGAATGCTATACCAAGGAGCTATGATGAGGCACACTTTTGTGTGCCTGGCACCTGGTGCATTGCCGGGCAATGATGAATGCTATGGTGAGGATGAATCCTTGTGTAATAGACCGTACTACTGTCCCAAGGCAGCTATTCACTGGTCTGTGTGCATAGAGCTCAGGGAAGGACTATTTCCTGGTGGACCTCAGCACTGTGACCTTCCTGGCTCTTCTTAAGCCTTATCTTAATTGTCCTGTTTCCCTTCTAGGAGAGCTGTGGACTGGGGCAGCCTTTACCAGTGATGAGATGAGAAGTGATGCTGTGTGGCAGTGCTGAATCTCTCTGAATATGGTAAGGACTGATGCCTGCCTATTTTGCGGGCATCAGTGTTCTTTTGTTACTTTACTCCTGGGGGCGAGGGGCATTTTCCTGGTAGACTCTGAAGGCTCTTATTATGGAGCAGCCTTACTCCCAGGAGGGCTGTTGGCATCTTTGAGGGTGTGAGTGCTTGCCTGGTGGTTGAAGTGGCTTGCAGGACCTTGTCAGAGTTGCTGGAAAGACAAAGTTAACATGTTTTGTTGAAATCTGTTCTTCCATTACCTGGGCCTTCCACTGTGTTGAGCTGTTTCTGGGGTATCCCCAGTGTCTGTTGCTTTTGCAGTGGACAGTACCCAGGACACACTTTCTGCATAGATTAGCATAACCCTCCCCTCCTTATTTTTTTTTTCTTTAGATGATGATTTTTTGTTCATTCCCCACATCTGAGGAGGCCATAGCTTTTCAAGGTAGAATAGATCATATGCTGGAGCAGAATTGTATTCATCTGTCAGTATTTGAAGAGATGAGTGACATCTCAAAGCAACTTATCTCTTCCACCAAATCCCTGTTTCTAGATTCGAATTGCAGCCTTAAATGCCAGCTCCACCGTTGAGGATGATCATGAAGGAAGCTTTAAAAGTCACAAAACCCAGACAAAGGAGGCTCAGGTATGTAATGCAATGTCTTCCTCTGCAAGTACCTTCTAATTTCTATAGATGGAACCTCATTTTAAATGCATTTAGGCATCTCCTTAGTGGGGTTTTAGGGGGAAATTCCATTTTGAAAAATGGCTAGCTCTCCATCTCCTGTTAAACCTGTTTTACTTAGGAGATGATCATATTGAGGAGAAATTATATTTATTCTGTCAGTGTATATAAAGGCCAGTTTAGCCACCAGGCCCACTTCCATGTAGCCCATTTTTTATGTAGGCCTCGGGAGTTGAGATACCCAGGGAATGGCAGGATATTAATGGCAGTTGGTGCTTCGAAGTTCCCTAGTGTATTGCCCTCACTTTACAATGTGATGAGACTCTTGAGGGGAGCAGCCTAGACTGGGATCCCTTCCAGGTCAGTGAGAGAGACAGGTCCAACCTTAAATCCCTAGATTGTTGATCACTCCTCTTTCCCATGAGGCCTGGCATCACTTCCATTTCAGCCTTCCTTCTTTCCATCCATTCATCTCTATGCCCTTGTCCTATCCAAGTGTAACAAGGGTTTACTCCTGCCTTTATTTTCCCTGAAATATATGTGTCCTCCTTCACACCCCCTGCATTTTATGGTAGAAATAAGGACAGTTCCAGAGCTGTCTCAGAAGTCTACTAGTCACCTGTCCCTAGTCTGTAAGGCATGTCGGTGAAGCTCAACCCACCCAATGCCACCTCCCTCCCACAGGAGGTTGTCATCCACCCTAGGCAATGATCAGGCTGTGGCAGAGTGGTGAGTAGAAAACAGTGGAAACCAGGCCAGGCACTCAGCCTCCCAGCACTTTGGGAGGCTGAGGTGGGTGGATCACTTGAGGTCAGGAGTTTGAGACCAGCCTGGCCAACATGGTGAAACCCCATCTCTATTTAAAGTACAAACATTAGCTGGGCAAGGTGGCTCATGGCTGTAGTCCCAGCTACTAGGGAGGCTGAGGCAGAAGAATAGTTTGAACCTGGGAGGCGGAGGTTGCGTGAGCTGAGATGATGCCACTGCACTCCAGCCTGGGTAACAGAGTAAGACTCTGTCTCAAAAAAAAAAAAAAAGAAAGAAAGAAAACAATTGAAACCAGTTTTGTGTTTGTGGTAGCTTCTGATGTTGTTGTTTGTTTATTTTAAGAGACAGGGTCTCACTCTGTTACCCAGGCTGGAGTGTAGTGGCATGGTCACAGCTCATTGTAACCTCTAACTCCTGGGCTGAAGTAGTCTTCCTGCCTCTGCCTCCTGAATAGCTTAGGACTACAGACACAGGCCACCATGCTCAGCTGATTTTTAAATTTTTTGTAGAATGGGCGTCTCTCTATGTTGCCCAGGTGGGCCGTGAACTCCTCGTTCACACCTTGGTTTCCTAAAGTGCTGGGATTACAGATGTGAGCTGCTGTGCCTGGCCTGCAATGGAAACCATTCACACTGAACTTTTCACTCACAGCACTTCTGACATCATATATTGGTGGTATTTTTCCCCCCATACCAACCAATTCTCCAACTCTCCATACACCAGCTGGGTGTCCTACAATTCAATTCTGACACTAGCTACCTAGAGTTAGTGACAGACTCCATAGTGCTAACAGCTTGTTAGCACAAAACTGCCCTCACTTTGGATGCCACTTGCAAGCATTGAGTGCCAGGATACCCACACTCCTGTTCAGCTGGGCTAAAAGTCAGGGATTCTCACCCCCTAACTGTTTTAGTTTCGACAGTTTGCTAGAATGGCTCAGGACTTAGGAAAACACTTTACCTGCATTTACCAATTTATTACGAAGGATACACCTCAGGAACAGCCGAGTGGAGGAGATGTTTATGGCAAGGTATGGGGTGGATGCACAGAACTTCTGTGCCCTCTCCAGGTGCGGCACCCTCCCAGCACCTCGATGTTGTTCACCAGCTCAGCAGCTTTCTGAACCCTGTCCTTTAGGGTTTTTTTAATGGAGATTATATCACATAGGCATGATTGATTAAATCACTGGTGATTAAACTCAATCGCCAGCCTCTCTTCCCTTTCTGGAAGTTGGGAGGTCTGGGAGCTGAAAGTTCCAGCCATCTAATCACATGGTTGGTTCCTCTGACTGTTGCCCTGCCTTACATACATTTTTGGCTTAAAAAAGACAGATCTTTATGCTGTATAAAAACGTCTCTTGTCTTGGTTTGCAGGAAGCAGAGGCTTTTGCATTGTACCACAAGGCCCTGGATCTGCAGAAACATGACCGGTTTGAGGAGTCTGCCAAAGCCTACCATGAGCTCTTGGAGGCGCGCTTGCTGCGGGAGGTGAGGCACCAGCAGGCCAGGCAGTGTGCTGTGGTGGTCAGTGTATGTGCTATGGGGCTGGGTGCTCTGGGCCTTACCTCTGCTCTCCCATTTCTGGTCTGGGGAACCTTGAAAACATTTCACCTCTCTGCCCCTATTTCTCTACCTCTAGAGTATCTGCCTCATTGAGTTTTTATGAGGGTTGAGTGAATCCAGTGAAACATGTAGAATGTTCCTGGTGCAAAGTAAGTGCTTGGTAAAGGCCAGCTATCATTATTACTTAATCTTCACAACCACTCTGCCCAGTAGCTGGGTTTTACAAATGTGGAAACTGAGGCTTAGTGAGGTCTTGATGGCTCAAAGCCATCCAGGTAAGTGAACCGTTCGAACCAGGATTGGAGTCCATGGTTTGCTGATATCTGATGATCCTATTGGCAGCACATTCTAGCAAATGCCATTTGAGTAAAAGACCTTGAGCTTGGGAAGGCTGTATAGACATGCCATGGAGTTTTGAATATAGTCAGAAGGATTGGGGCACTGGATACAGCAGAGAGGGGCAGGCAGGGCAAGACCTGTTCCCAGCATGGGGACTGTGGTAGTGGTGAGTGAGTTAATCCTCGAATTGACTGGAGATGTTGACCAGAGGTTTGGGAATTGGTCTCAACCTGAAATTCATTTAGGAGGGTGTATATTTCATTGGGAGGAAAGGCTTTTGTTTTCAGGTACCCAAACATGCAGATGATGTGCATTAAGGAAACAGATAAACTCCATGGGTGTTTTTCTGGACTGCACAGTCTTTCAGTTCAGCAGAGTCTCCTATCTCCTACAGTGCTAAGCAGGCAGATACTGGTGACTCAAGCACACTACCCCTAGATGGTTTTTGCTGCTGATGAGTTAGAATACTGAGTTCTAATTGTCAGCAGAAAGCATCTATTCCTTCTCTCACTCAAGGTATTTCCTCATATTCCTAATTATATAGCTTGTCAAGATTCTTTGGTTACTAGTTACAGTTTCTTGGAATAAGGGGTATGGGACTTGTGACCTCCTCCTCTCAGTGTTAGTAGGAAGTAGGTGAGGACCCAGAGAGGGAAAATTAGTTTATTCCATATTTACTGAGCTTTGGTTTTGGGCCAGTTGCTGGGCTTGTTGCGTCTTCCCTCTCAGGCCTTGGTGGAATGTACCTCAGAGATGTGAACAGGTAAGCACTGAACTCAGAGGGCAGCATAAGTATAGATGGATGCCAGGTGGGCCCAGCATTCAACAGGTGCTAGGCAGGAGGCCTTTTACCTAAGGGCACGGTCATGTGTCACCCTTTTAGTTGTAGGTGCGTGCATCTTTCTTTGCACAAGTATATCACTTTTAGCCTTACAAGGTTGTTTTAGCACCCCTGCCCCTTGCTTGTAATCGTAAAAACATGCTGGTTGTAAGCAACCAAAAAGTACAGAAAATATACATAGAACAGTTTCTTATTACATTAATGTACTTAATAACAGTTTTACAGAGGATTGGTGTAAATAGGTCCTGGACCGCAGCTGACTCCTAAGAAGCATTCAGCCTAACTGGTTGGTGTCCTGGAGGGACTTGCTGGGGCGGATTGAGAGTGGTACTGAATGTTGGTAGTCTGTTAGGTGGAGGTTAGTTAAGAGCATCCACTGTTATGTTTATGTGTATTGCTGACTGTTTAGTCTGAAGTAGACTCACTCAGTCTCAGTAAATTTGTTCCCACTGTTTTGAAGAGTTCTGTACCTGGAGGGACAGAGGTACCTGGGATCCAGCCCTGGTCAGCTGGTTCTTGGGGACCTTTTTGTGTGTTAAGTCAGACGACAGTAGAAGATAACTGAATGGGGCTTTATTTGAGCTTCTCAGATTTAAAGAAGTTCCTTATGACCTCCAAGGTAGATAGATTCTTGGATTAGTCAAGGGATGCTTGCTGAGGGTGGCATGTCTTCGAGTCTTGCCTGTTCCCAACATGAAGAGCAATGTGTGGAAGCCACCTGTCCCAGGAAAGAGCTTC